AATAATAATTAAAAATATTTTTTATATACAATTTTTATTGAATACTTTTATTTAAATAAAATAATTTTTAATTATCATTTATATAATATAGTAATTTTTTTTTTTTGGTTATTAGTTGCACAATGGGAGGTAACCCTCTCCTATTTTTTATCTCACTTCACCTGCATGCCATACGATTTGAACTTAAGATCTCTTACTTCTTGTAGAAGGAGATTATAACTAAATTATTTACATCATTGGTTATAATGTAGTAAATTTTTATTTAAAATTTAGGTTAAGCCCCTATTTTGATCCCTCAACTATTATACGGACCCGCAACTTGGTCCCTTAACTCAAAAAATCTCTAAGTTAGTCCTTACTGTTTACCATTTTGACCCTAATTTGGTTCATCTATTAAAAATCCACCTACATGTCCCATTAACTAACAAGAGCACAATGACATGCCAACATATTAAATACATGCAGGAAGACAGCATGGAAAAAAAATGATGATATGGCAAAAAAAAAAAAAAAACACTTAAAAAATTCTCTTTCTTCTTCCTTCCTTTCTACAAACTCTAAAAATGAAACCTGCAATTGCCCCCAATGAAACCTGCAATATAATCCTTTTATTTTTTTCTCTCTCTATCCCTCCCCCAACACTAGATCTAGACCCTTCCAATTTCTCTCTTTTGTTGGGTTTGAAAGCTGGGTTCAAAGGAACCCAGCACAATTGGGTTTTTTTGAACCCCAGTAGTCACTGGGTCGATTGAACCCAACAAATGCACTAGGTTTGAAATCGAACCCAACAACCACTTCTTCTTCCTCTTCTTTTCCTTTCACTTTCTACAAACCCAGACACTTTCTAACATCAAATCTAAGTATAACACAAACATCAAACATAAACCCAGAATCTCCCCAAAATAGTCATTGCCCTTTCAACCTTCTAAAAAACCCAGAAAAATCAAGGTATCTTCAATCAAACCCAGTAACAGTTCTTCAATCGAACCTATCATTCTTCAATCAAACCCAAAAAGGGTACATCAATCAAACCCAAAAAGGGTACATCAATTAAACCCAACATTCTTTAATTAAACCCATCAAGGTTCTTCAATTGAACCCAATAGTGCCTGTTAGGTTTGATCAACGAACCCAGCAGGCGTCATTGGGTTTGATCGATGAACCCAGTAGGCGAACCTAGCACCACTGGGCATTGATTAAACCCAAAACCCCCCAACGAACAAGGATTTGGGGGAAGAAGATGAACGTAAGATGCTAGAGATGAAAATGAAGGGGTAACGAAAGGAAAATGGAAAAAAATTGATGTGTGGTTGAAGATGAGGGCAAAAAAGTAATTTTAGTTTTATAATTAATTTTAGATATTTTAATTTTTATTGAAAATTACGTGTCAAAGTTTTATATGCCATGCTATCAATCTTACATGTCAAAATATTTTTACATGTCATCCTTTCTCATCAACTAACAGGACATGTTGGTAGATTTTTAACGGAAAGAACAAATTAAGGTCAAAATGGTAAGGTTAAATGCTAAATTTGGTCCCTCAACTTTAGTGAGTTGCACATTTTTGGTCCCTTAACAATTTTTTGCACTTTTTTGATCCCTCAACTCTAAGAAATGCACTCCGTTAGTCCTTCTGTTAATTTAGACGGTTAATTACGATACGTGGCATTTTTTATAATTTTTTTGATGAGATGGCAAAAACAATTTTAAAAAAAGCTGATTTGGAATTTTTTTTAAGCCACATCATCCGCCAACTCATCCAATTCATTGACAACTCATAAACTGATTTTACCTTAATAAAAAAATAAAAAATTACAAATTTACCCATCTCCCTTTCTAATCCATCTTCTTCCCTCTTTCGATCATCTTCTTCCTTTCTTTTTTTTCTTTTTCTTTCTTCCACTTCTTTCTTCCTCTTCTTCCTCTGTGTCCGCTGGGTTCGGTGCAACCCAGCAACTGGGTTCATCGAACCCAGCAAGATTCTCCATTTATTTCATTTGGATTTAGGTATTTATGGGTTTCCTCGATTTCTTTCTCTCAAACCTAACTAGTTGCTACGGTTGATTTCATGGTCCTTTCTGTTTGATTTCCCTCAGATCTCTTGCATGTATGGTGAATGTCTTGAATGGTTGTTGCTATGACTGAGTATATAGTTTGTTCCTTATGAAAGAGTATCTTTCTTCATGATGCTAGATATTGAATAACTTGTATTATGTGTTTTTTGGCCGGGAGGATTGGAGGTGGAAC